GAACAAGGGGAGGTAGAGACCAGACAGTGTGCCAGACGGGACCGTAGGACAGGGAAGAACAGTGGAGGAGGTCGCAATGACCGGACCCCCAGAGGGGTCAGCGAGGGAGACAGCAACTGGCCGAGCGAGTGGCTCAAGGGCAGTGCGATCTCGAAAGAAACAGCGAGAAGCACCTGAGTCCAGTGTGAAGGTGTGCAGTGCCGCAGTCGACTCAGTACCAGGGGAGACAGACTCACCAGCACCTAGAGTGGCAGCCTCACCATCACCAGGGGTAGCAGACACGCGAGCACCTGGAGCTGCAGACGCACTAGCACCTAGAGCAACAGCCTCACTGGTCAGAATGCCCGGGTCGGGCGGAACACGCAAGTACTGAGCACCCTCTCCACTAGTAAACATAGCATACATGGCAGTGAGAATAGCATCAAAGTCTAAAGCTCAGATATCAATTCCCTTCTTCTCCAGATCAAACCAGCGGGGCAGCTCATTGCCGTCAGGGAACTGAGTGCGCCAAGCGTCGTCAAGGCGCGCGAAACAGCGCGGCGTGGGGTGTGGCTTCCTACACGTCTGACCAGCGCGGTCACCAGTGCGGATGACGTACGTGCAGCTAAGGCCACCCCCCCCCACGCTGCGCATACCACTCACGGGCCTCCTGGAGCGACGGAGTGTGCTGCTGGCTCGGACCACCGCCAGCGCCTCCACGACCACCACCGCCGCTGCCACCTCCTCGACCACCCCCTCCCCTGCCGCTGCCACGACCACCGCCGCCCCCACTGCCGCCCCCGCCCCTGCCACCGCCTCCGCCGCTGCCGTCACTACCCCCACTGCCGCCACTAGTCTCTCCAGCCCCTCCTCCACTCCCACCGCCTCCACCCCCGCCTCCACCCCCACCTCCTCCACCCTTGCCTCCTTTGGTCCTGCGGCGCCCGCTCGAAGCAGACGCGGTCCCGACCTTCTCAGAACCAAGGAGGTCGACAGCAGAAGCAGAGGCGATAGAGGGGAGAAGGGGGGAAGGGGAACACCCCTGCAGGAAAAAAAAAAATCGTTTTCCGTGGTGGGCCCTAGGAAACTTCCTGCTCTGATACCATGTTAGAACTAGAGAGGAAAGTATGTCGATTAGGTTAGGGGAGGGGGTACAAGAGTATCGAGAGAATTGATGTACCCTCTAAGAATCACCCCTACATAACCTAGAACTAAATAATATGAAACATATAATTTGACACGCCAGTCTCCATAGCACTGGCCGATCCCTCTTCAGGGCCGGTCATTGCGACTCACGCCACTACGCTCCCGTGCCCAGCTGCTCCTTCCGGTTCCCTGACTGGCCTCCACGTTCCTACGTTCTCTAGGAACCTGGTTGGTGTGGGCCCCCTGGCGAGACAGCACGTCGGGGTCTGGGTTGAGCCTTCTGGTGACACCGCTGCCTGTGTGGATGGTGACACGTACGCCCCTTGGCCAATTTTCGCCAGGAGCCGGGCTCCGGCCTGTACACCCTTCACACCGACCCCCGTCAGGTTCCTCCGTCCCACCAGGTAGCCAGGTCCAGTCAGGTTGCTGTGTCTGGTCTAGTTGCTGCGTCGTGCTCGTGTCGGTCGCTTGCCCACCCCTCCCTCCTCTGGCACCACCGCCTTGGTCACCCGTCCCACCCTCGTCTCCGCGCTATGTCCAGTCAGCGTCTTGTCTTAGGCCTCCCCCGAGTCCTTCCGCCGCTCCCACCGTCCCCAGCTCCTCCGTGCGGTCCTTGTGTCCAGGGTCAGCTGCGCGCCACCCCTCACTCCTCCTCCCTCCGTCCGGCCACTGAGCCCTTCGAGACACTCCACTTAGACGTCTGGGGCCCCGCTAGCCGTCTTGGCCCTGAGCGGGAGAGTTTCTTTTTGGTGGTCGTTGACGACTACTCTCGGTACACCACCGTGTTCCCTTTGGCGAAGAAGTCCGACGTGACTTCTACGCTGATCCGGTGGCTGCTCACCACCGAGAGTACTCGCCGTCGTCGTGTCAGTTGTCTCCACTCTGACCGTGGGGGTGAGTTTCGCTCCGGCATTCTCGCCAGATTCTGTGCTGAGCAGGGCATCACCCAGTCCTGGACTCTTCCAGCCTCTCCACAGCAGAATGGGGTTGCTGAGCGCCGCTTAGGCCTGGTCATGGAGATTGCCCGTACCTCCATGATCCACGCCCGCGCGCCCCATTTTCTGTGGCCCTACGCGGCTCGGTGCGCCGCTCACCAGTTGAACCTCTGGCCTCGCGTCTCACGGCCAGGGGCTTCACCGACCAGTCTTTGGACAGGGTCCCCTGGTGTTGCGTCGAGGTTTAGTGTTTGGGGGTGCTTGGCTCTTGTCCGCGACACCTCTGCGGACAAGATCTCACTTCGCGCCGTCCCCTGTGTCTTCCTTAGTTTCCCAGAGGACTCCTCTGACTTCACCTTTTACCACCCTCCCTCCCACCGGTTCTTTGACTCTCGTGACGTCCGTTTCGACGAGTCCGTCCCCTACTACGGCAGGTACCCCTATCGAGGTGTCCCGGTTCCCCCCCCTCCCCTCTTCCTGGCTCCAGCTCTTCCTCCTCCCGCCCCTGCTCCTCCGGTACCCCCTCCTATTCCCGCTCCGTCTGGTGTGTCCCACGCTACTCCCCCACCTTCGGTACCTCCCCAGGTCTCTCCTCCCTCCCCCCAGTCATCCTCACAGCCTCCGCAGCAGCCGTCAGCGCTTCTTCTGCCGGCCACTGCGGACTCTGAGGGTGTTGGTGCTCGAGGTGAGGGCTCTGGCGGTGCTCGCTCTGGGTGTGCTGGCGTTGGAGCTGTTCGTGCACCTACAGGAGCCGCCCGTTCTGGGGGTATTGGCGTTGGCGCTGAGCGTGCACCTGCCGCAGCTGCCCGTTCCGAGGGTACTGGAGCTGGAGGCGGTGTTGGAGCTGGTGGTGTTTCTGGAGCTGGAGAGTCTAGGGCTGGTGCTGGTGCCACTGAAGGCACCACGACTGGAGGTGCGGGTACACCTCCTGTAGGTGCTGGTCGTGCTGCCGCGGGAGGTACTCGCTCTGGGGGTGCTCAGCCGGGTACTGTCGAGGACGGAGGAGGTTCTTCTGCTGCGTCTCCTGACACCACTCCTCCTCCTCACCCCTACCCGACTAACGGGCGTTACCAGGCCCTTCTTCGTCTAGAGCGTGAGGAGCAGCAGCGTTTGGAGCGTGAGAGGTCGGAGGTCCAGCAGCGTTTGGAGCGTGAGAGGTTGGAGTTCCAGCGAGGGGGTTTTCTTTCAGACCTTCGCGCCCACCCCGAAGATGACCACTCTTCGGGTGTTGCTTCACGTAGCGGCACAAAGGGACTACGAGCTACACTCCCTCGACTTCTCCACCGCCTTCCTGCAGGGCAGCCTACACGAGGAGATCTGGCTGCGTCGTCCTCCGGGATTCACTGGCACCTTCCCGCCTGGGACCCAGTGGAGCCTCAGACGACCGGTCTACGGCCTCCGCTAGGCACCCCGTGAGTGGCACGACACTCTCCGCTCTACTCTGTCCAACCTCGGGTTTCAGCCGTCTTCCGCTGACCCGTCGCTGTTTGTTCGTCGTGGGCGCACACCTTTCTTTGTTCTGGTCTACGTTGACGACTTGGTTTTTGCCACAGCCGACACAGTTGCACTGGCGGAGGTGAAGTCCGAACTGCAGAAGAGACACACCTGCATTGACCTTGGGGAACTGCGCCGCTACCTTGGCATGCAGATCTCCAGGGACAGAGCCGCTCGCACCATCACTCTGACTCAGTCACACATGGTGCAGCAGGTCCTTCAGCGGTTCGGGCTTCAGCACTCCACTCCTGACCCACCCCTCTTGCTGTAGACCACAGACTCACTGGGCCTTTTCCTGACGAGCCGTTCGAGCCCAGTGGTCCCTACGCAGAGCTGGTGGGCTGCCTCATGTACCTGATGACGTGCACTCGCCCGGACCTCGCCTTCCCTCTTAGCATCCTTTCTCGCTTTGTTGCGACTAGGAGACACCGTCCTGTTCACTGGACGGCGGCTAAGAGGGTGGCGAAGTACCTCGGCGCGACATCGGACATTGGGCTTGTACTTGGAGGCACACAGCCAGTTGTACTCACCGGTCACTGCGACTCCTCGTACGCCGACGACGTTGAGACTCAGAGGCCTACGCAGGGTTACTGTTTCAGCCTAGGCTTTGGAGCTGTTTCCTGGAGGTCTACTCGGTCTTCCTCTGTTGCGACTTCTACCGCAGAGGCCGAGATCTACGCTGGAGCACTTGCTGCACAGGAGCTACGCTGGTTGACCTTCTTGCTCACTGACCTTGGTGAGCGGCCGAGCTCTGCACCGACCTTGTTTGCTGACAACAAGGCGATGATTCTCCTGTGTCGAGAGCCTCGACTGGAGAGCAGGGTGAAGCACATCGACGTCAGATACTTCCTCCTTCGAGAGTTGCAGAGACGCGGACAGGCTCGTCTGGACTTCGTGGCCTCCGAGGCCAACACTGCAGATATCTTCACTAAGGCTCTTCAGCCTTGTGACCACCGTCGGTTTTGTCTGCAGTTAGGCCTCATTGAGACTCGGTCTAGTAGACTGCAGTAGTGTTTTCCTGCCTCTTGTTTGCTTGTATCACATAGCTTCTACACTCTTGAACTGGCATTGTGGCCTCTTGTTTGTGCTCAAACTGTGTGGTGACGTTGTTATCCACCCTGAGCTGTATTTTCTCTCTTGCTTGTGAGTGGTCTTGTGACATTAGGTTGTGTTTTTTGTTGCTTGGCATTCCCCACTTAGGCTATGGGGGTGTGTCAAATGTTATAGCCTCCAGTGGATTGCCAATTATATGCATGTTTAGTATAGATAGGCTATATGGGGGTTAACACTAGGGGGTACACAACTTCTCTCGACATTCTTGTACTCCCCCCCTTGACCTAATCCACATCCTAGCCTAAGCCTTGTGACACGTACCGCTACCTTTGCTTTGCTGGCCACGTCCTCGCTTTCACGGTACGAAATTTTAGAAAGTGTTACATTTTTAAATTATACCCCCCCATCGGGGCTTATTCCGGGGGTGACGGTAAATTTGACCTCCTCCAGCAACTCAGAAGCTTTTGTTTGGATGAGCCTCCACGCCGCCTGCACATGCGCCATCTCTGTCTTGACCGCCCCTATTGCCATGCGCAGTGTGTAATGCCCTGATAGCACCTGCACAGGGTCACAAGGAGGCACGTTCAAGGGTCAAGTGCCCTCCTACTCTTAGATGCAGGCGATTGAACAAGGCAGCGTGTGTGAGGTGCTTCTCAGGAGGAGCCTCAAGAATGTATGTGTGGTAAAATAAAGGAATGGAGAAGGCATTCAGCAACGTGCTCAGGACGCACAGTGTGTGTGAGGTACGCCTGCCCGCTGCTGTTAATCGCCTCTAATAGTGCCATGTTCACCTCCCTCCCTGCATCCACACTGCCATCGCCCACCACCCCCTCGCCCGGCCCTCCGCATACAACCCCACTGTGTGCGCGTGGTGGTGGCGGCTTGAGGCGGAAGCAGACGAGGGCGAAGGAGCGTGGTGCCATCAGCTGGAGGGCATAGCGGGGATGAGGGGCGGCAGAGAAGGGGGTAACTTGGTGACGTCATTCAGATGAACAGGTGAGCGAAGAGGCATGGGTGTGTGAGACGGTATGAGGGTGTGTAAGGGTGTGTGAGAGGATGTGTGAGGACGTGTGAGATTGTGTTAGAGGGTGTGTGAGAGTGAGTGAGAGTGTGAGAACGAGTGTGAGGGTGTGAGAGGGGGTGCGTGAGAATTTGTTTGAGTGGGTGGGTGAGAGAGTGTGTGTGGGAGGGCGTGCGGGTGTGCGAAAGAGGTCAGCACAAGTGAAGCATTCGGAGTGTGAAGGCATACTACAGTCCAGAGAGTGAAGGCATACTGCACTGCAGAGAGCGAAGGCATACTGCACTGCAGAGAGTGAAGGCATACTGCACTGCAGAGAGTGAAGGCACAGGTGGAGAGGGTGTGTGAGAGAGTAGCACAGGTGGAGCACACAGGCAGTGAAGGCACACTGCACTCCAGCTCACTTGGAACCGCTCATCCTGCCGCACGGCCTCCTCGAACGACTCAGCAAGTGCCACGTGGCGCCTGATGTAAGCACGGATGCCCTCCGCCCCGTACGAGCGCAGCACCATCCACAGCTTCAGCGACCTGCTCAAGAGAGGGCGGGGGAAGGAGAGGGGGGGGGCGGGGTGAGGGGGGATGGCGAGGGGAGAGCTGGTTCGTACGTGCGCAGCACCATCCACAGCTTCAGCGACCTGCACGGGGGGCGTGGGCATGGGCATGCCGGTGTGCAGATTGAACGGAGTGCGAGGAGGCCTAAATCTCTTCTAGCATTGTATCAGATAACAATGAATTGGAGATTCCAGGAGTTCATTTGAAATGGCATGACACAAACCCACTGCATGCCATGCGCCATGCCAGGCAGGTGCATGGGATTGGGACGAGGAGAGACTTTCCTCAGCACACCTGAAGCGGCGCACACCTGAAGCGGCGCACACCTGAAGCGGCGGCCAATGGGGATCTCCCAGTCCTTGTAATCCACCACGTGGTGGCGCTCCGTTGCCTGCTTTGGGAACGGGGGAGAGGGAAAGGGAGAGAGGAGAGGAGAGACGAGAACGGGACATAAAGCGATTCTTTGTTTGACTCAAACATCATCAGCGGCGGCCAATGGGCATCTCCCAGTCCTTGTAGTTCACCACGTGCCCACACTCTGTTGCCTGCCATGCAGCGCAAGAGTTGTGGGCGAAGGGGGAGGAAAAGTGAAAGTGAGTGTGCGTGCGTGCGTGCGTGCGTGCGTGCGCGTGCGTGCGTGTGTGTGTGTGTGTGTGTGTGTGTGTGTGTGTGTGTGTGTGTGTGCATACAAACAAACTGCAATAAGAGCACATTGTATCAAGAGCACACTGCGTGTGATAAGAGCAGACTCAGTTAAGATCTCACTGCCAAGAACACCACTGCAATAAGAGCACAGTAGCCCACCTTATTCCTGAGGTATTCCGGCAGTATCGACAGTGCTTTCACCAAAGGCCTGCTGTCCTGGTGGGTCACGGGCATGGATTTGGATATGGGCATGGGCATGGGCATGGGCATGGGCATGGGCATGGGCATGGGCAGGCATGGGCATGGGCATGGGCATGGGCATGGGCATGGGCATGGGCATGGGCATGGGCATGGGCATGGGCATGGGCATGGGCATGGAAACGGGGATAGGTATGAGCACTGGCAGTGCACAGGCAAGTCGACAGACATGGGGAAAGGGGGGGGTGGGAGGTAGGGGGGGTGGGTGGGGTGCATGGGGATGGGACTGGGCATGGGCATGGGCGAGTTGATACGAATGGGGATAAGGATAGGCGTGGGAATGAGAATGGGCAGGGCGTGGGCACGGGCATCGGCAGGGGCATGGATAGGTGAAATGCGGGTTGTGGAGCAGTGCAGTGCAGTGCAGTGCAGTGCAGTGCGCTGTGGTGTGGTGGGTGCGGTGCACTGCAGTCTAAGGTGGTGCGGGTGGCAGTGCATTCAGCAAACGCAAAGAGGGCACCCTGCCCCCACAATAACAAAGTATATTCCGCACTCCACCAGCACTGCCACTGAAAACAACCATCTCTCACCCCGCCGGCACCACCTGGGTCCTGCAGGCACTACCCCATGCAGCACTACCCCATGCAGCACTACCCCATGCAGCACTACCCCATGCAGCACTACCCCATGCAGCACTGCCCCATGCAGCACTGCCCCATGCAGCACTACCCCATGCAGCACTGCCCCATGCAGCACTGCCCCATGCAGCACTGCCCCATGCAGCAGCAGTCTTTTTAGTCGACTCAAAAGCAATCTCTCCTCCCACCGGCACCACCTACCTGGGTGCCACCGGCACTACCCACATGCACCACCCACCTGCGTCCACATGCACCACCCACCTGCGTCCACATGCACCACCCACCTGCGTCCACATGCACCACCCACCTGCGTCCACATGCACCACCCACCTGCGTCCACATGCACCACCCACCTGCGTCCACATGCACCACCCACCTGCGTCCACATGCACCACCCACCTGCGTCCACATGCACCACCCACCTGCGTCCACATGCACCACCCACCTGCGTCCACATGCACCACCCACCTGCGTCCACATGCACTACCCACCTGCGTCCACATGCACTACCCACCTGCGTCCACATGCACTACCCACCTGCGTCCACATGCACTACCCACCTGCGTCCACATGCACTACCCACCTGCGTCCACATGCACTACCCACCTGCGTCCACATGCACTACCCACCTGCGTCCACATGCACTACCCACCTGCGTCCACATGCACTACCCACCTGCGTCCACATGCACTACCCACCTGCGTCCACATGCACTACCCACCTGCGTCCACATGCACTACCCACCTGCGTCCACATGCACTACCCACCTGCGTCCACATGCACTACCCACCTGCGTCCACATGCACTACCCACCTGCGTCCACATGCAGCAGCAGTCGAAGCTGGTGAGCAGCCACTTGTGAGCGTTGGACGCTAGTGAGTCAGCCAGGTGCACGCCTGCCAGGTGGTGCCGCATCTCAGCACACATGCACGCCATGCCTGCATACGCCGCGTCCACATGCACCCACATGCCATGCGCCTGTGTGAGTGATTGAAAAGAGAAGGGGGGGGGAGGGTGGGGGGGTGGGGGGGGGGGGGGGGGGGGGTGGGGTGATTGGGGGAGAAAAGAGAATACTGAGTACGTTTTGAGGCAATTGGGCTTATGAGAATTCTCAACAGTGCACATACATACATGCCATGCGCCTGTGCATGTGGTTGAAACAAGGCAAGTGGGCTTGCTGCACTCACTTGTGTGCTACGGCATGAGGCATGGCATGGCATGGCATGGCATGGCATGGCATGGCATGGCATGGCATGGCATGGTATGGCATGGTATGGCATGGCATGGTATGGCATGGTATGGCATGGCATGGTATGGCATGGTATGGCATGGCATGGTATGGCATGGTATGGCATGGCATGGTATGGCATGGTATGGCATGGCATGGTATGGCATGGTATGGCATGGCATGGTATGGCATGGTATGGCATGGCATGGTATGGCATGGTATGGCATGGCATGGTATGGCATGGTATGGCATGGTATGGCATGGTATGGCATGGCATGGTATGGCATGGTATGGCAAGAATGCAACTTGGAGTTCACCTTTGCGATGGCAGCCAGAGGGGCAATTGGATCCACAGCAGTGGATGACGTGGAGCCAACCTGGCATGGCGTGGCAGAGGAGCAGAGCAGGCACGTGGCATGGAGTGAGTGCATGGCAGAGTCCAGCAAGTTCAGCTGGATGAGTTTGGGCAATGGCGAGGAGGACGAGACGAGCACTGGTCGTTCAACAAGCGAAAAGGCGGTGCACATGGGGGCAAACACCGCCTCACTCACATGCCCGGTGGTTTATGGTCACATGTGGAGGGAAAGGAACGGGTACCTTCTGCTTACAGCGAGAGTGAGGAAGAAGAGAACAAGGCGCCTTCCACCCAGTCAGAGTGAGAGTGAAAAAGAAGGGAACGAGGCAACTTCCACTCACAGTGAGCACGAGGAAGAAGGGAATGAGGCCGGCAGCTTCATCCCTCTGCACCGCATCCAACAGCTGGCGGGGAGTGAGAGCATAAGCCGATGCAGCAGTGGTGGGAAGCACGCGCACGTTGCCCTCGGGCATGCCGGCCACACGGCATGCCTTGAGAGCACATGCATGCGTCTGGTCCGACACATATGCCACCAGCCGCTGCGCTGCCCTGTCCTCCACGCTGCCCCATGGGAACGTGGGAGCAGACTCGCCCCGCACTCCCACACCAGCAGCGCCGGTGGTACCGCCATTGCCTCCCTCCACTGCCGCCCGTTCGTCCTCTGTCACCCCTGCGTTCCTACAGCAGCCCTGCCTGCCATTCCGTGTTGAGAGTATCCTCCGTATAAGCCTGCTCTCCACCTCGTTAAGATGCGCTATAAGCCGCCCCTCGGCTGCGAGTTTCTTCTCCTGAGCACCCTGCCTGCTGCCTGCTACTGCTGCTCCTGCTGCTGCTGCCGCTGCTGCGGGTTCCTCCGTACTGCCAGAGTGCCCCACCACGCGGTCGAGGGCTCTCCGCCTGGCGGCCAGCAGCGCCACCAGCAGCGCCTCACTGGCCGTGCCGTGAATCACGCCCCCTCCCTGCCTGCCTGCCATGCCACCGGCCACAGTGACAGTCACACGCACGACACGGTATGTGAGGTGGCGACGGAGAGGGAGGATTTAAGTGCGCAAGATCGCAAGCATGCCGATGCTAATCTGGTTAACGATGAACGTGATCGTCAGAACAAGCAACTAGTAAACCTTCACTCCCCACAGTGTGCCGCTCTCCCTCACCTCACTCCCCCTCCCCTCCATCCCCTCCCCTCTCTCTCTCTCTCACCTCAACCCTCCTCCCTTCTCCACCCCTCATTTCACCCTCCCCACCTCACCCCCGCCCTCCCCTCATTCCCACCCACCTCCCCGCACCTGACTTCACCGAGTGGAACCCATCCGGAAGACCCAGCAAACCAGCAAGCCAGTCCATGACGATTGCTTCGGGCTCCGTGGCAGCAGGAGCAGCAGCCCAGCCCAGGAGAAGCCCACCACGTTCAGTTGAGCGCGCTGATGAAGGCAGTTGAGCGCGCTGATGAAAGCATCTCTGCGCTGATGAAGGCAGTTGAGCGCGCTGATGAAGGCATCTCTGCGCTGATGAAGGCATCTCTGCGCTGATGAAGGCATCTCTGCGCTGATGAAGGCATCTCTGCGCTGATGAAGGCATCTCTGCGCTGATGAAGGCATCTCTGCGCTGATGAAGGCATCTCTGCGCTGATGAAGGCATCTCTGCGCTGATGAAGGCATCTCTGCGCTGATGAAGGCATCTCTGCGCTGATGAAGGCATCTCTGCGCTGATGAAGGCATCTCTGCGCTGATGAAGGCATCTCTGCGCTGATGAAGGCATCTCTGCGCTGATGAAGGCATCTCTGCGCTGATGAAGGCATCTCTGCGCTGATGAAGGCATCTCTGCGCTGATGAAGGCATCTCTGCGCTGATGAAGGCATCTCTGCGCTGATGAAGGCATCTCTGCGCTGATGAAGGCATCTCTGCGCTGATGAAGGCACCTGTGCGCTGATGACCTTCCAACCCCCCCACTCCCTCTCCCACCCTTGCTCACCTGACTTCACTGAGTGGAACCCATCTGGAAGCCCCAGCAGGTCCACCATCCAGTCCATGACAATCTCCTCCAGCTCCGTGGCAGCAGGGGCAGCGGCCCAGGAGAAGCCGACCACGTTGAGGGCGCTGATGAGGGCGTCAGCGCAGATGGCGGCAGCGCTGGTGGGCGACGAGAAGAATGCGAAGAAACGAGGGCTCTGCCAGTGCGTTAGGCCTGGCAGGATGGCGCTCGATATGTCTGCGGTGCAAAGCGGTGGAGGGGGCACGGAGGGTGTGGGGCGGAGAGGGTTGGCGAGGGTTGGCGAGGGAGGAAAGGTGGGGGGAAAGGGGACAGAGGGGAGAGGAGTGGTGGAAGCGGAGGGGTGGGGGGAGACAAGGTGGAGGCGAAAAGCGCTTTGAGCGAAAAACAAGCAGATGTGGCAGTGTGTCGAAGGCCGCGAATAATAGGAACGGAATAGCTTGGTGCATAGGGACAGACAGACACAGGCAGGGGGTGGGGTGCGCACGGTGCATTAAATGGTCAGAAAGGAGTGGAAAGTGGTCAGAGTGAGTTGTGCCTCGGGTCGAATTCGCAGACGCGGCCTATGATGCGCACAAGAGGAGAAACGCGGGTGGGGACGAGGGAGAGGGGGAGCGTGACCTGAGAGAATGTCTTCCAGCGGTTCGCCATGCTCGGGGGCGTGGGCGGGCAGTAGAGGCCGCAGATAGCCCGGCTGAAAGGGGTTGCAGCGACACCAATGGGGCAGAGCATGCCGGGCATGGGCAGTGTGGGTTAGCGGATGCAGGGCGATAGAGTGCAGTGCAATGGGATCGCGAGAGAGAAAATGCAGGGAAAGGAGTGTGTGTGGTGTGGTGGCAACTGCCGTAACAGCATGCGACCAGCTAGGCATGGGCATTAGCCCGACCCAACCCGCCGCAAGCTGGGGCAGAGCTCACACATTTTCCTCCGCGTGCTTCCAAGCACCCGGAGAAAACTCCATAACTGCCGGTCCCTTGCTCTTTCACTACTCCCTGCCATCCAATGCTCAGCTGCCAACTGCATGCATGGCTGGTCACAGCACGCACACAAACACGCGCGCGCGCGGCTTACCTGCACGGTGCTGCGCAGGGGCCTAACAGCCACGCCTTGTACCATGCGGTGAAATCCACCATGCGGTGACCTCCTGTGCATCACGGCCCACCATGGCACAGCACATACGCACACTCGTATGGCTCACCTGCACAGTGCTGCACACGGGTCTGTCCTCGATGCCTTGCAGGTAGTCCGCAATGAAATCCACCATACCATGGCCCTGCCGCCGCACCTCCTCCGCCTCCAATGCTCTGAACGCACTGCTCTCCGCTGCTGCCCCGCCTGCAGTACCGCTGCCTTCCTGTGCTGTTAGTCCGTTACAGGAACCTTCACGCACTGCCAGCCCGTTACATGGGTCATCCTGCAATATAAACCCGTCACAAGCACCTTCCTGCACTATTGGCCCGTTACAAGAACCTTCGTGCGCTGTCAGCCCGTTACAAGCACCTCTCTGCACCGTCAACTCGTTACAAGCACCTTCCTGCACCGTCAACTCGTTACAAGCGCCTTCATGCACCGTCAACTCGTTACAAGCGCCTTCCTGCACCGTCAACTCGTTACAAGCACCTTCCTGCACCGTCAACTCGTTACAAGCACCTTCCTGCACCGTCAACTCGTTACAAGCGCCTTCCCGCACCGTCAACTCGTTACAAGAACCTTCCTGCATCTCCGTGGCTTGCTCCCGTGCTACCATCTCCGCTGCCGCAGGGGGACTAGCCGGGTAGAGGGGACTCGGGACTGCGCAGGAGGGGGGGCGAGGGAGCGCGAGGGCGAGTCACACGCGAGCTAGAGTATGACACAGTATCTGCCGCGCGTTTCTTGCCGCGTCGTCCGGGCGAGCGTTCCACGAGCAGTCGAAGCGTGAGCGCGGCGCGGGAGCTACAGTGGTAGTTCTGGCAGTCACGGCGGTTCCGCGTGAAGTCCGTCTGTCTGTCTGTTTGCGGTAACGACGAGCACTAGCAGTGCTATCCTTTCTATCACGGTCGCGGGAATCACGGCGTGTGGTTCGGTGGCGTGCGAAAGGGTTTGTTGTCCGCTTGACGTGAAAGGTCTGCATGCTGCTGTGAGTCGAAACGGATGGGAGAGAGGCGCGCACATCAACCTTGTAGTACCGGTGGTAGTACGCTCCACGCACCGGCACGGGTCAGTGAGTGCGCGTCGCCCAGACGTGGCGTTCTCCGCACGCCACGCCGAGGTGGCGCTGCAGCGCCATTCGCCGAGTGCCCTACTTCTCGAGTCGCGAGCGATGATGATTCCGGGCCAAGAAGCAGCTTACAGGCGGCTCGACCGAGGCATCGCGGCTCGCCTTGCGCCATGCCGTGCCTTGGCTGCCCCGAGAGGCGCTGGCTCGCTGTTTGCCATTCATATCCTCGCAAATCGCCCGAATTCGCTCGACAATCGCCCCTCATGTGGCGCAACGCAGTCTGCTGTGCAAGAAGATTTGGCGACTCGCCCGAGAACACCTGGCAGTTCGCTGATGGGGAAAGCTTGGCGCCAGGGTTGACAAACCTGCTGGCTTGGCGCGCCACCGCGGTTGATGGGGGGTTTGCGAGGGTGGCAGGCCAACGCTGCGATGGAATTCGCTGTTGAGAATTCTTGAAAGCAAGGGGCAATTACCTCCGCGGTAACACTCATTGAGCTCGTTCGCACGGAAGGTAAGCCACGTGTCCAGTTTCGTTTCGGCTGAGTCAAACCCTACTTGTACGGTGTACAGTTTAGTACGAACGCGAAGTTACCAGCCAGGAATCCCGGAAGCACTGTTCATTACCATTCAGGAAATAATGTTGACCATTTCGGAAATGTTGGTTACCACGGTGGCGATGAGAAGATACCTTTGTTACGATTTGGACACGTGGCTTATCTCCCGTGCAAACGAGCTCAATAAGTGTTACCGCGGAGGTAATTGCCCGAAAGCAAGTCCGATGTGGAAGTGCGGTGAGCCCAGGTGGTGTGAGCCAACAAGGATAGTGACAGGTGAGGCCCACCACGTGGCCGTTGAGCAGCTCAGCGCGGGAAACTGTGATGATAAAAGAAATGGATAAATGCGGTGTTGTTGGTGTACATTGCGTTACTCCGAACCTTGCTTATGACGCGAATATCCGCCGCCTTCAAACCATACGCGGTCACGACGTTTTGCTCAAAAGGAACCAACTTTCAAGGCAAACGATACTGGCCTGAAAGTTGAAATGTTCATTTCGAATCACAAATCACGAGACCCTCCCTTTTTCTCTGAATCCTGGAGCAACCCGAAGTAGACATACATACAGGCTTCGATAGAGAGTAAGGGAGATCCTCGCTGCTGTCCTCGTTATCCGCGACCTCGTTATCGCGTCAATTCTGCAGGCTCGCGCGCCTAGTGCCTCCAGCAGCGTGGGATCGTTCGTCTTTTGCCGCCAAAGGGACACCTTCCCAACAGCGTTGCCTAAGCTTAGGCCAATTGTGATCAGCGGCGCGCTACTAGCAGCGGGACGCAGCGGCCATGGATGACGATTTCGATGATGGAGATTATTACGTCAAGCCGCGCATGCGCCTCGCATCTGAGCCGTTCGTTTCGCCGGAGGACCAGCTCGATCCGGACGCCTCCGTCTCTCGCCCCGTTCTCCTCATCCTCTGCGGATTCGCCGCCGCATTTCTCGCGGCGGGAATCATGACGTCAGGATTCCTCCAATTCGTCCTCATCTGGATCGCGCTCGCCCTCGTTATAGGCCCACTCGCTCCTATCACACAGACAGGTGGAGACTGTAGAGTTGGTGTCGGTCCCCCGTTAGAAGAGCACCAGCACGCGGAGGAGCAACCAGCGGACGAACCATCCCCAGCCTCTCGTTACAAGAACACGGCCGCTCGCGAGCCGCAGGAAGCTGAGCTGGCGGATCTCCCCGTCCAGCGCGCTGCAGACGGCGGCGCCGCCAACAGCGGCAGCGCCGCCAGCGAAGGCGTGGACACGAGCGAGTGGACGCGCGAGGAGTGGGACCAGCTGAAGAAGCTTCTCGTGAAGCTTCCTCGCGGAACAACCCAGCGGTGGGAGAAGGTAGCAAAAGGCGTGGGGTCCGGGCGGCGCGCCGTGGACGACGTGATCCGATCCGCCAAGGCCGTCGCGCTGCAGAAGCCGTCGGATCGCGACGCGTACGCCGCGTTCCTGGCGCAGCGCAAGCAGCACAAGGGCAGCAGCGCGGGCGCGGGGGGAGCGGGGGGGGCGGGGGGAGCCGAACCCGCGCCCACAAGCAGATGGGAGGAGGAGGGGATCGCCCCTGGGGGCGCGGCAGAGGCAGAGGGCAAGGGCGGTGGTAACGCGGTAACCACGTGGACGGAGGCGCAGGACCGCGCGCTGCTGCAGGCGCTGAAGGAGTTCCCGAAAGACACGCCCCTGCGGTGGGAGCGCGTGGCCAGCGCCG